ATAAATATACTGGGATTTTATCCATCTTCTTTGTCTGGCTTGAGGTAGGGCTAACTGTGGTGCAGATGAGGTTCCCATCTTTCCAAATCCTAACCCATGTATCACTTTATCAATGAGAATCATGAAACCAAACATTCAGAGGGAACTGAGATAATGGATATCAGAAATTTACCCCACCTGCCTCAATAACATCTGGGGCAGGGGAAAAGCCACCTCCTAACCTGGTTTGAAAAGTCACAGCTGATGCTGAAAATTCACAAGGTATAAAGACGATTAATTATTTGAGATTTTAAAAAAACAAATCCTGATCTGAACAGGTTCGAGGCTTTTCACCAGTCCAGATGAGCCATTCATTGCAAGTATCCCTAATTTTTTGTGTAAGTCTATTACTGTTTGAACTTCTCCCAAGGGACTATATAATAAACATTAGCTTAGACCTGTCTGGAGTGTGTGTGTATTGTGTCCCACAATCTTACCTGGAAAAACCTTAAGGACCTCAAGACTGATTTGATCTGACATGTGTCGAAGTTCATTTAGGATGGGATCTTAGTAATCACCATTAGAACGGATTCACAAATCACATTGCTAGTGATGGGAAAATATCTTATTTTCTATTTGCATTTCACTCCACTCATCCAACCCCATCTTCATGTTGCTGTGGAAATGTTATTTTCTGAAACTTCACTCAGTTGGGCTAAGATCCCAACACAGAGGATCATTGTTCGGCACAGTTTCGAAAACATGTTAACATACCTTCCAACTGTCCCAATTTGGCAGGGACAGTCCTGATTAACCCTCTGTCCTCCCACTTTTTCAAATGTTCCAGTTTCTCTCTCTTCCTTCTACTTTCTGCTTTTGTCCTTAGTTTACTTCAGTTGCTGCAAACTGAATACAAAGTCCAAAAGTAGTTTGTACTCAGCTCAACAGGGAGAGAGGAGCAAGTGGGATCTCACCCTTCTTTGTAGACTCAAGCAAAGTCAAACTCGCCTAACTTGTGAGTTCTCCCTTGTTGATAATTTTGTCATTTTGATCACGCTCTGATGTTGCTTGGCCACACGTGTCCATTTTAATTTGTGAAATGTTGGATGGACAGTATGTAGAGAGATCTTGTAGCACCTTCGAGACTAACTGAAAGAAAGAAGTTGGCAGCATGAGCTTTTGTGGATGGATGGATAATATCAACGGTGCTGTTGCTTGTACCACCCTTCCACTGGATAAGAAATTCTCAGGTTGCACCACTAACCTAGGTTTGGTTGTCCTTGCAGACAAAAGAACACTGTTGGTTTATTGGCATTTTGCAATTGTTTGATTTATTTACAGATAGGCAGCCTGAACTTGAGTGGGAGAAGCACAGGTTAAACCACTCCAAACCACAGGCAAGATCCAGTGTCCTCCCATCAGGTCTCCAAGGAGGAATCCAGCAGCTCCCTGTAATGCTGTCTAAAACCTAAGGCATTTTGTAGGCTGAAGTGAAGGGTGCCTTGTGACCAACAAAGAGGATAGCTTAAGAGGTGGAGGGAAAGCATTGTGGCACATACCTGTAGTTCTTTTTTCCAATCCTTTGCTGCTGCCTCCTAGCACCTGTTGCCACCTGAGGTTACTGCCTCACTTTGCTTAAAGGATTGGACAGAGCAGGCATCTTTTTGTCTGTTAGACTTCCAAGTGGCAGTTTGCCCTTGGGTGCATCTACACTGTAGAAATAATACAGTTTGACACCACTTTAACTGTTGTGGCTCTAGCTATAAAATCCTGGGATTTGTATTTTTGTGAGACATCAGCACTCTTTGGCAGAGAAGGCTAAAGACCTTTGTTTCTGTTGTTGTGTGTCTTCAGTTCATTTCTGACTTATGGTGACCACAAGGCGCCATAATAATAACCTAATATAGTAATTCAAAGATATAGCTATGTTAGCCTGTAGAATTGAGATCTTGTAGCACCTTTGAGACTAAAGACCAACTTCTTTCTTTCAGTTAGTCTCAAAGGTGCTACAAGATCTCTCTACATACTAATATAGTAATAATAACCTAGATAACCCAGATAATGAAACGACTGAAATAGTCAAAGAGTTCTCATACCTTGGATCAAATACTGATCGGAAAAGAGACTGCAGTCAAGAAAAAAGAAGACGACTAGGATTGGGAAGGACAGCTATGAAAGAAATAGATAAGACGTTAAATTATAAAGATATAACTCTTGAACATTATGGTGAGGATAGTCCAAGGTATTGTATAAAGACATAACTCTAAACACTAAAGTGAGGATAGCTCAAGGCATTGTATTCGCCATCACCATGTATGCATGTGAGACCTGAGGGCTGAGGATACCATGGACAGCCAAGAAGACAAACAAATGAGTTCTATAACAGATCAAGCCTGGACTATCTCTGGAAGCCAGGATGACTAAACTGAGGCTGTTCATACTTTGGCCACATCATGAGGAAAAATGAACAACTAGAAACATGAGTCAACAGTGCGATGCAGCAGCTAAAAAGGCCAATGCA